GCAAAACTGATAGTGAGATGTTTTGTTTATACATTAAAAGGAATCGGCCGTTGGACTAGTTACTTGTACAGTGTCAGGCTGCCTGCATCAGATTACCTAGAAAGATTTATCAGGGCCACCTAGAGGAAAATTATCTTGAGTTTTTTTTGTCTTTTTTTCATTAGCTTACTAAACTTTGTTTCAGGTGGCGCCTCTAAAAATCTATCCACTTCGATGCTATGAGAGCACATTACTAAAATTGGTGAAAACCTAGTAAGTGGCTCATTCCTTGGCCAACTGGTTAGAATTCGTCAAAACTTTTAGATAAACATTTAATCGCCACTTATTAGAGGGTCTACATATAAATTGTATAAGAAAATAAAAGTCCTAGCTTCTTACCATTTTCTTCGGTTATACACGATTTAATTGCTAAGACAATTGTTACATTTATAATTAGTGTTGTCTGCTGAAATATTTCATGTCTATTTTCGAACATTGACTTTCTAATCCATTCACTGCTTTACAAATCAAAATATGTACAGACTTTTAGCATCTTATGGCTCTTACCGTACATGTTCATTTTCCATAAATAATAATTAAATATTCCTCCATTCTCTTTTCCATGTTTTGCCATGACTTATTGTAGGGACTTCGTTTAAGCAACTTTGCGCGGCGTCTTTCCACAACTGGCGAGATCACTAATCTAATGTCTTCGGATGCTGCTAAATTAAACGATCTGATGCCCTATTTCAACATTGTCTGGTCAGGCCCCTTCCAGATTATTATTGCTCTCGTGATGCTTTGGAACGAACTGGGCCCTGCTGTTTTAGCTGGTCTCGTTGTCCTCCTTATGTTTATTCCACTGAATGCTTTTATTGCTAAGAAGTCCAAGTCCTTTCAGGTACTTTTTTAATTAATTTAAGCCAAATTTCTTATTAAGTTAATTCCCCTTTATAGGCTATTCATTCGCTGGCTGTTTGGTTATCTTTGGCTCATTTATTTCTTTCTTATTATCAAATCGTTTATCTCCAATTCCTCAATCTTTTAGGCCCAATTTAATCTTATTTTTACTCTTTCATCTATATTATTGTTTATATAATCCTAAATAGTTGTGAATTTAGTAGAAATGAATATATTTATTTTTCGTACTAAAAATATTAAATTATTAGATTACAGTCATTTGGTGGTTAACTTTCGACGTCTGACTCTCAAACAGAGAAATTAAAAGAAAAGTTATTTGACCTTGATCTCGCAACATGGTCATATTGGTAGGAAGACTTACAGGAACGCACCTTGTCCGGAGTCCATTGTATGCATAATAATTTACAAAGTCGGACAGTGAACGTGGTACATTCTTAGACGTTTCGAGATAGAAACAGGATAGACGCGGCGGCGATGGGAACTAGGGGGCTGACAGTAGTTTTTATAAGAGACGTGGTCCATGTGGCAAAGACTTACTCAGAGCCTTGGGCCTCGAATTAGTCACCCAGACGCAGAGTATGGTCAATAACGCCTCGAGTGGCACGGATGGGGTGGCAGAGGTCGAGTGAAATATGTGGACCAGGGAGAGGTCATACGGATCTTACGGTTTAACTTTGGAAATGATCATGCAGACAATGTACTCGGGACTAGGTCCGTTCCTCTAAGCCTTCCTACCAATATAAACGAGTTGCGAAAACAAGGTCAAACAACTTCTATACAACGAAAGGAGACTGCGACCACACAAAAGGCCGTACCATCTTGGTCTTCATACCTTAGATTTTTTTGTTTAAATTCGCTCGATGGTAAATGCTTTTTTTAAACTGCTTGCCGAGACTTACCATAATTGATAGTTTTAATCGGCTTTTGCCCTTGCCTCTTATAGCAAAATCGAGTCTCCTTTAATATGAAGTAAAGGTTTTGGCATTCTCTGCTGTGGTCTCTACCCAGCCATCGCTTCTGTAATATTATCCTAATCATCATCAGCAGCGCTTAATTCTTAACGCATTTAGTCCTATCCAGTTTTTAAAATTTTTTGATTAAAGAAGCAATCAATACCACAACACTGTCTTAAACAATTATTCATTGCCATATGATTTTATGAGGCTCAATACAATTCATTAAAGTATTAAATAAATTAAATCATTTTATAGGAGGCCAAATGGTAGGTAAAGGCAGAACCAACTTCATTGACACGTGTCGTTGTCTTTTAAGACTGATAGTTACCCACTCAGAGTGTTTGATTTTCTCAATTAATTTTATTTTGCCTTTATCCATAGTGTGCGTTATCTTCTAGAGTAGATGAAATTATTTATCTCATTTTTGCTCTTTTAAATGATTACGGAGAATTCATCTATCATTGCCAGAGTATAGGTATAGTACCATTGATTAAAATTTTTAAGGATATTTTTGACATCAACTCAATATCATGATGATATAAAGGCATAGTATTGCTATAAAACACATGTCTGTCCCAAACATACCCCTGCCCCATAAATGTACCTTAAAACATTTATTTACCACCCTGTAATTTGCTCCTGCCAAATGACCTATTGGCACTTATGTGGCTTTTGTCCCTCAATACGCTTCATTCAATCTACCATTTGGGTAGCGTGACAAATGATATCAAGGCAAGGTCAACACTTTTTTCCCTGTGAACGATGATGCTCCTTTTAGGTTGATTAATTAGCAGTCCATTTAGCATCCAGTCCTTAATTGAGTTTCTTTCTTGAACGATCCACTTCGCTAATTCTGTAGTTTATTTACTTTCATCTTATAAACCTATATTGAATCAAATACAAACTAATGCAATTATTAATCACAGTCAGCATTTTTTCTCCAGTCCCAGAGTTCCTCTTGCGGAAAAACATATTAACGACCATGGCTTTTGAAAACGATATTCGATTACACTTCATTATTTTTCTAGGAATGCTAGGATAAATGTCTTTTATCAACATAACCAGACTTGTGTCCGACCTTGCGCGTTAAATGATGGTTATAACATATACGTAGAAAGGGGGAGATAGTGGTCATCAAACCTTGATGGCTAAGAAGAAACATTAAACCTAACCAAAGCAAGCAGTACTACAACAATTGTGGGTTGGCACAAAAGAGACTAGGGCATGGGAATTGATAGACTTGGTATTAGAGATAGAAACATGATAGACGCAGCGGCAATGGGAGCTAGTGGGCTGACAGTAGTTTTTATAAGAGACGTTGTCCATATGGCAAAGGCCTGACTATGAGACTTACTCAGAGCCTTGAGCCTCGAATTAGTCACTCAGACGCAGAGTAGGGCCAATAACGCCTCGGGTGGCACAGATGGGGTGGCAGGGCTCGAGTGAAATATGTGAACCATGGAGAGGGCAGACGGATCATATGGGGCAAGAGAGAGACTGTGGTAATACCTATTGAAGGAGGACTGCGTAACAATATGGCAGACTGATGAACATTCCCAGCACAAGGGTGAAGAAAGTAAGAACAACAGCGTGGAGTGTTAAGGGTTTTCATGAATATCGCTCGAAGGAGCACACCACCTACATCGAAATAAGCACGGTAAAAAGTGTAAAAGTG